TATCCACTATGCATTTTCAGGATACGATAAAAAAGTGTTATACAATTTAAAAGCAGAAATCCGAGCAAAAGGGTGAAGGCAAGTTTCACACAATCGCGGTGTTTCTTTTGAATGTTGAAGAACGTGAGCTAAAAAGCTTCGTTCACATGAAAACTGACAGTCACACTTTGGACAGCCTGAATTAATATGCACCCGAAGATGATTAACCATTATATCTTCTTGAGAGAAATAAGTGCTGCATAAACAACACGAGAATTTTTGTGATACTGTATGCAGTTTTTTGTGTTTACTGTAACTTGAAAAATATCTAAACGTTTTATTGCAGATGTCGCACTTAAACGGCATTCCATTTGTATGCTTTCTGAGATGAACGGTCAAACTAAAGTTTTGAGAAAAATGTTTGTTACATATATTGCAATGGTAAGATTTTTCTCCTGTGTGAAATCTACGATGAACAATCATGTCAAATTTTCTTGCAAAACATTTTTTACATATATCACATTCGAATGGCTTCTCTCCTGTGTGTGTTCTACGATGATGGGAGAGATTGCTATTTGCAGCAAAACTCTTATTACATACATTACATTTGAATGGCTTTTCTCCCGTGTGCATTCTACGATGTTCAGACAGAACACCTTTATAAGCAAAACGTTTATCACATATATTGCACTGATATGGCTTTTCTCCTGTGTGAGATCTACAATGAACAATCATATCAACTTTTTCTGAGAAACATTTTTTACATATATCACATTCGAATGGCTTATCTCCGGTGTGAATTCTGTTGTGAGGATTGAGAGAATATTTGCGAGAGAAAGTCTTAAAACAAAAGACACATTTGTATTTCATCGTGACGTTTTTCTAAATTTGAAATATCTGAAAAATAAACAAGAACTTTAAATACAGTCGCTCAAAATTTTTGTGTTAATCTAAAAGTGTTTATGTTACTGCTAAAGCTCGAAAGCAGTTAATATGTACATTAACTAGCTAATCTTCAAATTAACTAGGGTGATTCGTTAAAGTTGCAAAAATTGTTCCATTTCTCAAATTACTTAGGTAATGTGCAGAGTATCTAGGTAATCTGCACATTACCTACTAGGCATACGGTAAAGTGAAAATAAGATCTTTGCTGAAACAACAGCAACGTTTCTGTACGCTTAAATTAACATAATGTTATTTAATTATCGATATCTAAAGAATCAAATTAATACAATCAAACGATCAACAAATGAGTTAATAGAATTAATTATCAATGAAATAAAAAACTGTAATACAAAAAATCAAACGGTTTAAAATATTACAATTAGGGAAATGGGAAATTATATAGATTACCACCTATGGAATTTCGGAACTTTGAGTATATATCTGAAGCGAGGGGGCCAAGACGAGTTCAACGATATCCTACTTTTGGACCAGAGACAAAAAATAAGAAAGTTATCATACTTTTTCCGGCAATAGTATGATAAAATTGTGTGTTAATGTTACCTTTGGTGACTAAAATGGCGGCTCGTCTCTGATTCTAGCAAACCGAAGAAAGAAAACAGTGGGGACGCACGTTCTATTTTAACCTATTCTAATAAATTACCATAATTATTATCAACCAAATTATTAAAATAGGTTAGGTTAGGTTAGGTTAGGTTAGGTTAGAACATGCGTCCCCACTGTTTTCTTTCTTCTGTTCGCTGGAATCAGAGACGAGCCACCATTTTAGTCACTATAAGCGACATTAACCAATCCTGCTTACTTATTATTGTAGTCTAAAGATTGGTGATACTTTAAATTACATAGCAATTGGTTTTATAACAAGCACACCTATTTGTGGTATATTTATTTGTGGCAAAGATCTTATTTCACTTTACGGAGTGCCTAGTAGGTAATGTGCAGATTACCTAGGTAATTTCAGAAATGAAACAATTTTCGCAACTTTAACGGTTCACTCTAGTTAATCTGCAGATTAACTGGGTAATGTACACATTAACGGATTTCGAGCTTTAGCGGTAATATTTATACAAAATAACATAATACAGTGGAGCCTCGTACAGTGGGTTTTCAGTTAACGGATCCACTGTCCGTTAAGTGACAAGTTCGTTATAGGAAACGCATTTTCCCATAGAAATACACGTTAAAACATATAATTCGTTCTGCAGCATAAAATAACCGTATTGTACCACAAAACAAATGAAAATGTAGCAGTCACGAATTATGCCAAATAGTCAGAAGTTGCGAGGAGGATGTAAAGGAACACTTTCTTCACACATTCATACAGATACAGACTTTTTACTGATTGCAGTAGTTCACATTTTATTGTTTCTTAATCGGAGTCAGATTCAGGAGAGACTACAGGGCTTGCAGGGTCAACTCCTTTTGTTCCATCCCTTGTATTTCGGCAGATGGCTTCTTAAAAGACGTGTACAAGGTGGTTTGTTTCTCTTTCTTCTTCAACACCTGTCGGAAATGACGGGCAAGTGCGTTATTGTAGAGATCATTGATCCTGTTGTCCTCAGCTGTGTTTGGATAATGAGTGTTGGTAAACTCCTTAACCTCTCCTTCATTAGACAAGAAAGTTTTTGTCAACTTTCACTTCTTCTAATGATTTCTTGTTTTGTTTTAATTAAAATTACCTTTCTGTTTTTTAGAAGCTATTATTTGCATAACACTTGAATAAATGTAAATACCCTGCACTGAGGTGATGTTCAGTACGTAATAAACAACGGAGAGAGTCGAATCCCAACGGGAGCTCTGTACTTCAGATATACTAATGATATATTCTAATAATACTAATATATTATAAAAATAGCAGATTGTCATTGGCAATGGCGAAAGAGTAAAAACATCATTCGCCCTTCTTCGCAGCCAGTCCTTTGCTCGAGTTACGTGACAGCCAAACAGAAAGTCCGTTGTTCGCAGCGGCCGTTATTTGAGGCGTATGTTATACGAGGCACCACTGTATTACGATCGCAGATTGAAATCTTCTGTAGCACAATAGAAATAATATAATTTTTCTTTATCCGTAATTTGTGCTTTGTACTTGCATCTAAAATAAACAATAGAAAAACCCTTGGGTAAGTACATTACTTCTGCTGCAAATTCGATAAATATTTAGTAAACTAAATTACTTTCTTAAAGTAAGAAATGATGTTAGAACGTATTTACTAATAATTTTTTCTATAAATTAAAATATAAATTTAATATCTATATTTCGACGTATTTTTTCAGTTTATAAATTTAGAATGTTATATAAATTGATTAAAAAAGAAAACGAAACACATCGAGAATTTGCCAAAAGGATTCCCTGTCGATAGAACATTCTGTGAAAAATTTACCACTATTTACCTCTGAAACACGTTATGAAGACTGAAAATCTGATATCAACTAATAGATTTGTCAGGTTTGAAATCCCAACTAACTAGCAGTGTTAATATTTTATCATCTCAACTACTGTAGTAATTTAAATAAAAATTCGCAAAATAACATTCTTATGTTAAAGCGAATTCGGATAATGTTCGAAATTCATTTAAAACATAACGATCGTATTTATTGTAACCACATGCTTGCTTTATAAATTTCTAAAAAAATCTGAAATCTTGGTAATAATTTAACCACTCATTAAATTAATATTAGTTCGTCGATACGTTTATGCAAATTTTGCTTCTAGTATTAAGTTAAAACAATTAACCACGCGGCTCACAAATACACAAATTATATTATTCGCTGATTGTTTGAAAGTAATAAAAGTAAAGGTACTTACGAAATTTACATTCACAATTTCTGTCTCTGATAGATACTTTTAGCAAATAACCTGATTCATTCAACAGTAGCAAGCATAAATATCTCAAGGGTGCTGCTTGGTAAAGCAACTTTCAAACAGAAGTAAAAAATCACAGAATCTGCTTCATTAAATCGATTTATCTGTTGGTTAGCATTTCAAGTTATATTAATGTTTATTTACATCCATATGAGCACATACTTTGTTTTCTTTAATTTGCATAATTATTATTTTATATTAAAATTATTACACTACTAAACCCTTTGTACAACATTAAGTTTTCTCATTTTTCGGTCGATTCCACGATATTCCTTGTCTATTATGGTATGGTATCAGAATTAAAATTAATGATGGTGTAGATCAGTCTTTCCCAACGTGGGGTCCATGCCCCACAAAGGGGTAATTGGATTGTTAAGGAGAAAATTTAAAAATGGACTCGTCCAGAGTTTAAGTTAACTGTATAGCCACTGTATACGTTAGGGGGCATATGTATTTTAGAAAGGCTTTGGTGGGGCATAGCACAAAAAAGGTTGGAAAACACTGAATTAGATGCTTCTCTTAAGCGTTTATTTATGATGTGATATATCTGTGATATGATGTGATATATTTATGATGTAATTATCATCTGATTTTTATTCACCGTGTATATAAAAATGACCACAAAATGAATGAAAATACTCTATTGATGTGTATGTTACACTATACAAGTTACAATATAATTCACGAGTGTTGCACATAATTTTTGTGTTACATTTATATATAAAGTTTTAAATATAGGAAATAATGTTTAAATAGTTGAAATATTGTATTTGAGCATGCTACATTTTCTGGATTATTTTGAGAAATTTTAAATTATTTTACTACAAATGTAAAACTTATTAAAATAAATGTCAATTATCTGAAAAAAGTTTGTCAGTATATTAAAATAAATAACTAGATTTACGTTAAGTTTTAAATGATTTTAAAATAAATGGAAATAACTACAATGGAAATAATTAATTTTTATAACATCAAAAATAAATTTACACTTTTGAAATTAAAAAATACATGTAATGAAATTTACTTCATTCTTAGTTAAGAATATGTCGGTAGTTACCGGAGAAATTTCAAATAATTTCAACGTTCAAAAAATTAAATTCTGATTAATTTATTAGAAATTATAATCGGAATTTTCTTTCTTGTGATTTTGGTCAACAACCTGTGTTGAAGACACACCATCACATTAACATATGAGTTAGTATTCAGATCTGAAATTTGATGCAGTGATCTACTAGACTGTCTCCAGGAGGACCAAAGAAAAGACAAGAACCCACATCGCAGGTTGACCTTTCTTCCTTACTTGATCTCAGGGTAAATGGATAGCCTGCACTTCTACAGTTAAAAGAGATACATCGTGTAAAATTTCATTTTTTACGATTTTGTTGCAACACATATGCTGAAACTATGTTTCAGCATATGCGCTCTAAATTGCGTAACTATGTTTCGCAATTTAGAGCAGTCTGCACACGTTGATAGTAAATTTAGTTAAGTTGTACCTATGCAAATACAGTAGAGCGTCGATTATCCGAATCAATTAGAGACTGGGGTTGTTCGGAAGATCGATGTTTCGGATAACCGATTATGTACAAAAAAATGTATTAATTTATTCCATGTTGAAATTTTTCTCCGTTGCGTGTCGCTTCGAGTTGAATTTTCGTCGATGTTAAGCTTAACGAAGACTACTGTATCGTTATAAATTATTTTTGTTTTTAATTTTGTACGAACAAAATAAATATATTGAAAAATATAAAAACAATAAAAAATTATACTTCAGATGTTAATTTAGTATCAAAAACGTAAAATATTTGAGTAGCCCAAGACATAGCCAAAGATTGCAGCGCCACAGCACTGGCGAAAATTTAAATTTGCCGACTGGAATTCTTTCAAATGATTGACGTTTCGGATGATTGACTTTCGGATAATCGACGCTCTACTGTATCTAATTATAAACAGTTTTTAGAACATTGCTTTGCCTATATTAGCGTTGAGTTACATATACCGAAATAACTTGTTATAAATTATGAAAAAATTTATTAGACATAAGAATTTGCATTATATTTTTATATCTCTAATTTCTGCAGTTTTTAACTTTCATTTTATATAAAATACTTGTGGTTTGACAAATTGTTTCTTCAAATAGTTATTTTAAAGTAATTTGATACAGAAATTCGAAAAATAAGCGCGACATAGTCTATAACTGAGCGGCATTGAAATTTGGTGTTGGTAGTCTTATGGTATGGGGCTGTATTAGCTATTTTTGGCCTGTAATACTACTCTCTATACCTGATGAAATGGATGACGTTATTTGGATCGTCTTCATAAAATATATATATATATATAATTCTTATGACGACAATCCAAATACCGTCATAATAATTGCAGTTATTTGATAGTATCAAATAATTACTCTTCAATATTATTTGTACAGACAGTTCATGTCGGATGTAATCTCATATTCACTTTTCTCCTATTGTTAATAGAAACACAACCTATAAAAATAAATACGTTAAACAAATTTTTTGTGGCATCGATTATTGAATTTTTATATTTTCCTAGGCGATCAGTAAACGATCGCAGGCTTTTGGGATGACTTTTATAATTAACTCTAATTTTAGATTTTGGTGTCAAAATGCTCAATAGAACCTTGGATGTGTATCAATTACTTTTTGAAAAAAAAACTTTATTTTTTTTCCAACACTTAAGAAAAAACTAGAAGGATGTAATCGTATCTTACTCCATATTTAATTCCTTTTAAAAAATCACACAGATTCTTAATGTGTCACCTGAAATCTACGATAAAAAATCCACTATTTGACCGTTGTACATTAATTCTTGTTAAGGTCATGGTGAAAACCCAGTACAGACTCTCTAATAAAAAGGAGGGGTCGATGCGTTATCAGGAGTATTCATCCAGTTTGAAAAACTGGATGAATACTCTTGATAACGCATCGACCCCTCCTTTTTATTTTAAACTGTGTGTGCCCAGCCGATTGTCTTCGCCGTACCGATCTTAACCGTCGCCTCTGCAGAGAAACCATCGTTGCTCAAGAAAAAAAAGACGTGCCTTTTTTCTTGGAATCTTATACATATATTTTACAATATCAGTTATAATTCTTACATTATTTTATTCGTATTTTTCTAATATCGGTATTACTCCCACTCACATTACTTCGTATATCGGAAAGTCTACTGTACTTTTGAAAATAAAAAAATAATAACTTCTGTAAACGATTTCTGCAATTTTAGATTTAGTTGATGCATTCCTTTCTCTGTGTGTTATATGTAATCGTGAATTTAATGTATACTTGAAATAAATGCAAATGGCGCACAAATAAAATTCACCGTATTTTCTATTATTACATTAAAAATTCAGACATTTCTTTTTACTGTATTAATTTCTTGAATAAACGAAGGAAATTCCCGAAAAATCAAAAGATATTACCGAAAAAATGAAAAGTCGTGGTAATCGAAAGCTAATAGTACATTAGTTATGTAAATTGTTCAATTATAAATTTTTTAAAATATAATATAGCCTATTAATAATGCTATGTAAGCGTATAAATTTTAATTTAACATAAGTCTAATTACATCTAACTAATAAATTTGTTTCCATGTGAATGATCTTCTTTAAAAATATCCACAGTTTATTTGTTAGCAAACCATTTTGATGTTGCTGCATGTGTAATTACATCACCTAAGTTCTTTTTTCGAACAGATTTTGCTTGAGCAGTGGCAATATCTATTGGTTTAATTGTAATTAAATACACTTATTTTTCACTAAAACTAATATTCTTTAATTTCAGAAATGTTGTTTTCTTAATATACTATTCACGTTTAATGTATTAAAATCTCACGCTGTTAACTCCACGATGAAATTGTGCATATTCAGTAGATCTACTTTATTTAATGGTAATTCTGCAAGATGAATGCAACTAACATAATTAAGTGAACTACTTTTGGTTGAAATGCTATGCGTGTTAAGAAGATAAAAAATAACGAAAGCTAACAGTCGAGATGCACGTTCCACGTATTTTTTTTTCAATATAACGTACAAAACTTTTCGTAAATTTGTAGTTATATTGTTAAAATAAGAAAATGTATAACACTGAAAACAAATTTTAGGTACGTATCTATAAAACGGTATTTTAATATACGTTTTCAACAAGATCGTTCTCTTGTATACACCAAACTTCAAAAATCACATTAAAAACACATAGAGAATTACAGTTAATGTTGATTTTTGAACCATTCTCTTTTATGCCAAACTCTTGTATTATCAAAAAATTATGCAAAAAATTTGAGTCTATATTCAGCTGTTTTAAACAGTACAGATATCTAAGTGATATAAGAGAATGATTGTAATTTTTTACAGAGAAAACATACTATCTATCTGCACTGATTATGCAGTATTTAATAAAGATACCGAAAAGATATGACAGCACAAAAATATTAATTTACAATATTATAAATAGTCCTTTTTAATGATATGTTTGATAAATTAATTATGTATTTACATTATTATACGTAATAATAAAATATTTTTGATAATATAGAAAATGCTACAATCATAATCGCGTATTTCAATACACATAAGTTACACTACATTCGTTTACAATATACGTGTTAATTGCAGAACGATTAAAAAATAAAAATAGAT